TACAATAGTAATTGTGAAATCTGTGTTGTAATCGGCAGCAAACAAGCTAGTTAGCTTGAAAAGTAAATAAAGTTTCAGACGTGTGTTCAGATTGGCTCAGTAAAACGACAATTAGGTTATCATGATGCGTTCAAGTGTAACCTAAAGAAAAGGGAAATTGAGTAATACAGTTGTATATTGCTCAAATTATTTTAGAATATATAATTAAACTACTGATGCCAACATTTATTAAAAATTACATTTAAAATACAATTATTTACTTGCTAAATATTGTCGCATCGTCTTTCCACCAAATAACAGAAAAGTATGGATAGTGGCATCGATAAAGACTGGGATCGATAAGGAGTATCGATATCAATAAATATTAACGATCCCCATCCCTACTCAGAGGCCAGGTGTGTGTGTGTGTGTGTGTGTTTGCATGCTTTCTGCCAAGTTCCTGTCAGACTAACTCGCCCTGAGCCAGACGGTAACCGTGGTAACGGCCGGTCGCATTAATCCGAGTCCAGCTCTGACATTTAACAGAGTTTTACAGACCGGAACTGGAACACAACAGAGTTCGGTGGAAGCAGAAACAACCCCCCGTGTGACCAGCAGGGGTCTCAGGAGTTAGTCTGTAGGAGACTCGGCTGGAGACACACACACACAGACACACACACACACAGACACACGTATACAAACACACACACACACACACAAACAAACACACACATTTACAAACACACAGACTCACACACAGACAGACAAACACACACACACACAGACAAACAGACACACATATACAAACACAAATAAACACACACAAACAGACACACAAACACACAAATAAACACACAAAACGACACGCACACACACACATTTACAAACACACAGACACACACACAGACAAACACACACACACACACACAAACAGACACAAATATACAAACACACAAAATAAACACACACAAACAGACACACGTATACAAACACACACACACACACACACACACACAAATAGACACACATACACAAACACACAAATAAACACACAGACACACATGTAAACAAACACACACATATATAAACACACACAAACAGACACACAAACACACAAATAAACACACAAAACGACAAACATATACAAACACACAAATAAACAAACACAAACACACACAGACACTGGAGCCCCTCCGGGGGGCGTGGCCTCAGAGGGGGATGGGCGTGGCCTCTCCAGGGAGCGTGGCCTCAGAGGTGGGCGTGGCCTATCTGGGGGCGTGGCCTCAGAGGGGGACGGGAGCTAAAGGGGGCGTGGCCTCTCTGGGGGCGTGGCCTCACCTCCTTGCGGCGGTTCTTGAGCAGGTTCTGCAGCTTGGCCAGCTCGCGGTCCTGCTCGGCCTTGATGCGCTTGGCCTCGTCCCTCAGCCGCGTGGTGTGCTCCTGCTCCAGCCGCTCGATGCTCTGCTTCTGCTGCCGCTCCAGGTTCTCCACCTCCTGGTCGTACTGACGCTTCTTGCTCTGGGGGGAGGAGAAACCAGCACACGGATCAGCGCCCCCTGCTGGCCGGTGACAGACGGTCGCTTTAAGGCCTTAACCCTAAAAGGCCAAACGTATTTGATACATACAGAATAAGTTTCCTGTTAAACTTTTCCTCCTTTAGGTCCTCATTATATGACAGAAAATGATAAAATCTGCCTTCTGCCCTCTGCTAACATCTGCTAACATCTGCCTGCTAACACCTGCTAACATCTGCCTGCTAACACCTGCTAACATCTGCCTGCTGCCCTCTGCTAACATCTGCCTGCTGCCGTCTGCTAACACCTGCTAACACCTGCTAACATCTGCTTGCTAACATCTGCTAACACCTGCTAACATCTGCTAACATCTGCCGGTCGCTTTCAGGCCTTAACCCTGTAATGCCAAATGTATCATATTTGATACGGTTTCTGAAATGATCCAGACTCCAGATACAATTTAATAGAGAGTTAATAGAGAGTTTAATATTTTAGCATTGATTAAAGATGTTTCCGATCCCCCACAAGCATTAGCATTAGCATCTGTAACCCACAGGTCTGTGTCCTAACCCTTCTCTTTGTTCAATAGTGCATAAATAGCTATTACATTTGGGATGTGATTTGATTTTTTTCTTTGGCTTTAAAAGGTTTTTATATTTTTTTTTTAAGGAGGTAATAAAACCCTAAATCACCCATTAGCATTAACATTAGCATTAGCATCTGTAAACCACAGGTCTGTGTCCTAACCATTAAGTTGTTATCAGAGCATTAGCATTAGCATTAGCATCTGTAACCACAGGTCTGTGTCCTAACCATTAAGTTGTTATCAGAGTAAATCCCTGTTCAACATGAGTCTGACTACTAAGTAAGTAGATAAATAACTTTAGACTTTAACACATGCTCTGATAGGCCGGGATCAGAGGGGAAAAAAGCTGGATGGGAACATCCCTAGTTTGAAGGCACCCCAACAAAAAAGGCTCCGTTTGTTCCGGTTTTGGAGGTTTTTAAATCAGAGATGTGACCCTCTTTGTTCAATAGTGCATAAATAGCTATCACAGCTCACATTTGGGATGGGATTAGATTTTTTTCTTTGGCTTTAAAAGGTTTTTATTGATTTTTTTAAGGAGGTAGTAAAACCCTAAATCACCCATTAGCATTAGCATTAGCATCTGTAACCCACAGGTCTGTGTCCTAACCATTAAGTTGTTATCAGAGCATTAGCATTAGCATCTGTAACCCACAGGTCTGTGTCCTAACCATTAAGTTGTTATCTGAGCATTAGCATTAGCATCTGTAAACCACAGGTCTGTGTCCTAACCATTAAGTTGTTATCAGAGTAAATCCCTTTTCAACATGAGTCTAAGTAAGTAGATAAATAACTTTAGACTTTAACACATGCTCTGATAGGCCGGGATCGGATCAGAAAGCTGGATGGGGACATCCCTAGCTGGCACCCCTCATAATCTGCTCTGGCTCTGAGCTCTCACCGTGGTCTCCTGCTCGAAGCGGCGCAGGATCTGCTCCTTCTGCTGCTGCAGCTTGTTGCTGAGCTGCTGCTGGGCCCTCTGCTCCTCCTTCTGCAGGAGGCGCAGCTCCCTGAGCTCCTGCCTCCTCAGGAACCGCATCTCCTCGTTCTTGGTGTCGTTGTCGGTGATGATCTTCGAAGTCGTGACGCTCACCTCCACCCCGTCCACCATGAACTTGCGGGTCTTCTTCAGCGTTTTCTTCTGACGCTTCAAGTCCTGCGGAGATCAGAGGGTTAACACTGGAGGTCCCAGAGAATTCCAGCTTTTTATTTGCTAACTGTCCCTGTTGTAATGCAGATAACGCCCAGAAACCTTCCAAAAAGCTGTTTCAAGCTTTAAAAAAAAGTAATTTATTCATTAGTAGAAGCAGCAAAAGGCTCCTTTTCCTTCAGAATCAGCTTAAACTTCGTCTCTCTGCTCTAATATCAGCTTTTATTCTTCCTCTGCTGGTTTTTCTAAGACTTTCTCAAACAAGATGTGGTTGTTTTTGGCTATTTTTTGCCCCTTTGTGCTCATTATTATAATTCTTTCATGATTGTTTGATAATTCTTTGTTTCTTTATGTGTTATTAGCAGCTAAAGGCTCCTTTTCTTCTCAGAATTAGCTTAAACTTCGTCTCTCTGCTCTAATATCAGCTTATATTCTTCCTCTTCTGGTTTCTCTCAGACTTTCCCAAACAAAATGTGGTTGTTTTTGGCTATTTGTTGCCCCTTTGTGCTCATTTTATGATAATTTTTTGTTTCTTTATGTGTTATTAGCAGCTAAAGGCTCATTTTCTTCTCAGAATTAGCTTAAACTTCGTCTCTCTGCTCTAATATCAGCTTCCATTCTTCCTCTGCTGGTTTTTTTTAGACTTTATCAAACAAAATGTGGTTGTTTTGGGCTATTTTTTTTGCCCCTTTCTGATAATTTAATTATAATTCTTTCATGATTATTTGATAATTCTTTGTTTCTTCATGTGTTATTAGCAGCTAGGGGCTCCTTTTCCTTCAGAATCAGCTTAAACTTCGTCTTTCTGCTTTAATATCAGTCTGTTAGAGCCTAGCTGATTTACTTCACTTGTGACCAATAAATGTCATATTTGTACTCCTGATCTGCTCTAGTTTATTCTCAGGCTTCCAGCTAAAGAATCAATCTAACACCACCCACAACCTTTACATTTCCCCCTCTTGTCGGATCGGTTTTGAGCTGGAAACTGGTTTCTGAAGTACTGTTGGGGGGACTGGAGGCTGAGGAAATGTTCGTATCTCTGGGACTTCTAGTGTTAAGGGGGGTGGGACCCGTCCGGTTACCTGCACAGAAACGGATCCGGGCTCTTTTGTCTTGGACAGGAAGCTTGAGATGGACAGGTTCAGGTCTGTGCTGCTGTTATCTGCAGCGGGGCCGCCTCCTGAATCTGAATCCTTCTCCTTGTCGTCTTTAGCCTTGTCTGGCACCGTTTTCTCCTCCTCCTCTGTGTTCGGACTGAGCTTCTCCCCCGGCTCCTCTCCGCTCTCCTCCCTCTGGATGACCTGGTCTTGCTCTGGCAGAGTCAGAGTCACTTTCAGGTGTTTGTACGGGTCTTCTTCCTCATCCTCTGCTGGAGTGTTTGGCTCTTCCACGGCGGCCATTTGCTCTTCCTGAGCAGAATCGGGGGCCTCTGGGGCCTCTGGATCCTCTGGGGCCTCTGGGTCCTCGGCTGTGTCCACCTCCTTCTCATCCTCCAGGTTTATCTCCAGCGTTTGCATCTCTTTGGACGGAGCCTCTGGTTCGGCCTCATTCGGGGGAGCTTCCTCCTCTAAGGGTTTCTTCTCAGCTCCTTCATCTCTGGTTGGAGCCTCTGGAGAAAGCTCCAGGAAGCTGCCCTCCAGGTGGTTGGCAGCGGGCGGGGCCGGCTCAGTCTTCTCAGGGACCGACTCCAAAGTGGAGGGGGAGAGGGGGGGGGCCTTCTCATCCTCAGAGCTGGCAACACTGACGTCAGACGGGGCTCGTTTGTGACCCTGAAGCAGAGCAGGAAATGACTGTTAGTCGGTAGGGTTGTCAAGATACTAAAATTTTCAACTCGATACAGATACTCAGGAAAATACTCGATACTCGATACCATTTTCGATACCACAAGGATAAAAACAAAGACCCCAGAATTGAACTGAATTGTGTCTTTCATTTCAAACTGACCTGTTACTGATGTTATCGTGACTGGTGGCCCACATTAATGACCCTAACCCTAACCCTAACCCTAACCCTAAACCTAACCTTCCACCCTTCATAATTGTGAGAAATAAATATTTTTTGGTTAAACTTGTTTGGACTTATTGTACAAACCTATTTAACATCCACTATTTTAACATAATATTATGGATAGAGTTTAATTCAGTGTTTGCAAGATTAATTTCACTATTTTTAAATTAATGTCTATATTGCCATGAAGCAATTAGGATTTTCTTGCCTGGGATCTTCCTATTGGTGACCTAATCAAAATGGCCGACTTGGATGTGGGCGGAGTTGGATATGTACTTGATTAATGGTAGCATGTTACTATTAGCCATTAGCCACAGCTAGCAAGGCTAACGTCTTGTTAATGATCATAAACAACGTAAATAAATACATAAATAAATCAAAGAGAAGGGCGGTGGTATCGATACTTTTGAAAATGAGTGTCGTACAACATTTTAGTATCGATACTTTTTCGAGTATCGATACTTTTGACAACCCTATTAGTCGGCCAAAATGACCAAAACTGTAAGAATCAGCACACAGAATTTGTTCTCCGTTCCTTTAAAAAACTCTTATAAAATAGATCAGAACAACCAGATTGCTGAGAACCGGTTTTAGAGGCCAGTCTGGAGCAGGTTTATAATAATTAGCTCTGCTCTCAACAGCCGGGAAGCAAAGCTCACATCGCTCTGAATCCGGGCTCCATCTGGATTTAATTCAGCATTTCATAATGACTCGAATTTCAGTCCGAGCTGCTGACTAATCAGAATTCCCCGTTTCCTCTTCAGGATGTTAACCCATCATCACCAACTGTTTATAAAAGGAAGGTAAACGTCCAGGAAGTGTTGCGAGTCCAGAAATGTGTTAGAGTTACTTATGTTGCTGTTTTGGTCAACGAGTCGGACAGTTAGGACATTAAGTTAAGCAAATTAAACACCTCCTTTTTTCTGTATACATTTAAAAAAACATGGATGATGATTTAAAAACAAATTAACACAATATACCTCTATCATAATACTGATTTTCAGGGCAGATTTAAACATTTTTTCTCTGTAAAAAGTGTTATTTCAGAGCTGAGGTGTGCCTGTGGAGCCACTAAAGCAGCTTCTAACTTCCCAAATCTGCACAAATTTGAAGTCTTTGGTTGGAGGAACTCGTATCTCACCAGTTGTGCCTCCGATTCCTCTTCCTCTTCCTCCTCTTTGTGCTCCTCTATCTCCTCGGTGACCTCGGCCTTGGCCTCGGCTATCAGCTCCCTCAGAGGTCTGCTGTCACCCACAGTCGCCACGAACGAGTGCTGAGAAGAAAAACCCAATTTCACTCAAACTCTACCAGCCAATGACCAGATTTTTTACTTTTCTAAGTCCTGAATGGTTCCTGACAGGAATAAACCGCCTGCTTCTGCCCTAAGCCCGGCTCAGACAGCCTCACCTTCTGCGGCTTAGAAATCTGCTGCACATATCTTATGAAGCTTCTCTGGAGCTTCTTCGATATGAGAACCTTGACCGGGGGCAGCCCGCTGTGCTGTATTTTCAGGCCCATGGAGTCGGAGGGGAATCGGAGTCTGTCCCGAGCGAGAGCCGGAGAGTCTCTGATCGAGTTGACCCCGACGGAAACAAAAAACCCAGACGGGCGGGTGGAGCTCCGCCTTACAGTGGCTCAGAGCCCAGAAAGCCCAGGTACACAGATGCCCTCAGCTTAAGCTGGCAGCCAGGTCCTGTCTGAGGTGGGGGGGGGGTCATGTGACCAGGAGCTAACGCACCTGCAGGAGCTGAGCGGCGCTCCATCTGTTGTCCACGTTCTTGTCCAGGCACCTCTTCAGGAAGTCGCTAAACTCCGGGGACCTGGGCAAGAAGACAGAAAAAAAAGTCAGGAAAACGGGCCGGGACGAGGACGCCTGGAGCTTAGACTTAGAGACTTAGACTTCCTTTATTGTCATTGTACAAAAAACACAAGGTGAATCTTGACAACGAAATTTCGATTACTTGGCTACCAGTGTGACAGAGCTAAGACCTTATTCCTACTTAATAAATATGTTTCTGTAACTGAGAGCTAGATACAGTGGGGGAAATAAGTGTTTGAGCCCTTGCTGATTTTGCAGGTTTGCCCACTTACAAAGAATGCTTATTTTTCCTCATCAGATGGTTATCAATTTTTATAAATTCATATGATGTGATTTTCTGGAATTTTCTTTGGGATTCTGTCTTTCACTGTTAGAATGTACATATGATTAAAGTTATAGATCGTTGCATTCTTTGTAAGTGGGAAAACCTGCAAAATCAGCAAGGGTTCAATTACTTATTTCCCCCCCTGTAATTGAGAAGCACTGTGTTATTCTCTCTGTCCTCACCAGCGGGAGGGCTGCATCAGCGAGGGGGGGTCGGCCTTGGCGATCTTCAGCAGCACCCTCATGGGGTTCATCTCGTGGTTGGGCGGCTCGATCTGAGCCAGCTCTATCAGGGTCACCCCCAGGGACCAGATGTCCGCCTTGTAGTCGTACGGACGGTCTTTGGAGGTCTCACACATCACCACCTCCGGGGCCATCCTGGAAGAGGGAGGAGAGGAGTCAGGAATTCCTACAAGAAGCTGATAGAAGCTTTTGTTTGGCGGCATGTCTCTCTCACCAATAGGGAGTTCCGATGAAAGAGTCCCTCCGCTGGAGAGTTTTCGTGTTTTTGGCAGAAACACCAAAGTCAGCTGGAGAGCATGTGATTCAAACAAAACCAGAAATGAGTCAGAGGGACATCGCTGCCATGATTCCTCCAAAAGCAAACACACAAACCTCCCAGAACACAAATCTTAACTCTTCACATGTTTATGTTTATGTTTCTGTTTTTGCATTTGGCAGATGCTTTTATCCAAAGCGACTTACAGAGTAGACCCAATATTCCATTTCTCTTGTGGGACTTGTGGGCTAGCATCAGGGACTTGTGGGCTAGCATCAGGGAC